TGTATGCTTAAACTCCTTACAAATATAACCCACAAACATCGGTGTTTAATTATTTCATATATAAGGCAAGAACAAATTAATTTGATAAATTTATTTGATAACTTTATTTAGTTGAGATCATTGAATTTAATTTGCTCTATCCTTAAATTAAAGATAATTGACAGCATAACTGTTCAATGAACTGGGAGCTGGGAATAGCAGGGACTGGGCGCATATCAATCACATGACAATGGCGTCTCTCTTAACAGACTAACAGCAAACAGTAATCTTCTCCGCTGACTCAAATTTACCTCCAAACGATTTACATTGTTATGTCAACTTAATACTGTTAATTTACAGTATATAAATGAATGAAATTATTTGTAATCATGATCTGTGTTATTATTAAGGGACGCTCACCCTTTAGTTGTTAGGGCCCGTAAATTATAACCGATACGTAAATTTCTACTACAAGGCTTCAACCACTCAAAATACTGACCCGGATAGAATAGACTTGTCAGGAGCTGAAGGTGTTGACCCGAGCTGTGCAACACATGAAGATAACTTGTAACTCAACAAATACTTGTGTTGGCAGCCGGCTCGTCTCCTCAGTGTCCTGGTCATTATGGCTTCTCTCCTCCTTTTCGGAGGCTCGTTTTTTTAAAGCATTATAATATAATTCTGGTAAGAAGTGGATATTAAATTAGATCCTTCAAGGAACCTTTTGAATTTATTTTTCTCATGGTAATTTAGACATAAAATAGTCAACTAACTATTCGTAATAAGTAATTAATAACAGGAGCAAATTCGTCTGTAAATATTAACTGTGCTGCTGCCGTGGCAGGCAAATTTGTGATGATTGGATGGATGCATTAATTGCAATTGTTCCCTTTTAAAATAATTTGAAAAAAAAATAGTTTTAGTAAATTTACCAAACAATCGAAAGATATCTCTCCCTTGTATATACGTTATTAAGTAAAGATTATATAAAACTGAATAGAATTAGGTGTCTAATTTCCCACAATATTAGCTTTCCATTCCACCAGTGACACAGAGGAATGAGTCACAGTGCCAAGGGTGGTGGAGGCTATGTTGTCAGCTACATTAGGGGGGCTGGTAGCTGAGTGGAAAACGCTCTGGATTCGTGGACCTATAGAGACTGGGGTTCGATCCCCGCAGCCGGCGGAAACAGATGGGCAGAGTTTCCTTCACCTTGAAGCTCCTGTTACCTAGCAGTAAATAGGTACCTGGGAGTTAGACAGCTGGTACAGGCTGCTCCCTGAAGGTGGGTGTGTGTGAGCTTTAACCCCCCAAAATTAGTTAGTAGCAGTTGATTGACAGTTGAGAGACTGACCGAAATAGCAAAGCTCAACCCCCCCCCCCCCGCAAGCACAACTAGGAGAATACAACTAGGTGAATACAACACCAGTGCCATGGAGTATTGAGGATTAAGGCTTAGCGGGAACTTATTGTTTTTTTGGGAAACTTCCCGCTAACGTTCCCATTCCTGTCATGCTTCTAATCTTATCTTTACCCACCTTCATACTCTTCCCCCCTTCCCCCTTCCCTTGCTCCTGCCCCACCTGCCACGTCATAATCTCACCCCCGCCCCATCATCGCTCTTATATCCGCCCCCCTCCACACTCTTTCTGCACGCTCATTATCTGCATTAAGATCATTAGGAGTTTGTTAAGAAATTATTATATAGAAAATATATGCTCTATACTAGTAGCCCAACTTTCGCACAATATAATACAGTCATATTTCAGAGAGTAAAATAGGTCAGAACAGATACCGAGCTTTGGCTCCTGTCCTCCGCCTTAATTCACTCCCGTAACTTCGCTAACAACAGTTCAATCCCATCAAAATTTAAAGAGGTGTAATTTAGACATAGTAACAAAGGAAAACAGTGTTACCAAGCGCCAGCTTCTGTTCTCTGCCTTAGTTCAATGTTCATCAAACATAGTATTCCAGAATATCATCAACAAAAACAAGTGAGTAGCTCTCAGACCTTGCTTTATATAAGTAAATACAAGTCTTAACCTCACCAACTATATACTTGTTGTATCCTGCCTTAGTCTCACCCTCCCTCCTTCCCTCCCTCCCTAAATTTCCCCCACTCCCGTCCGCTAACTTATCTCCCCCTCCCCCAGTCAGTTCCTTGCCCCCATATCTTACCCTCCCCCGTTACCACCCAGATCCTCGCCCCTTCCCCTCCCTCACCTACTTCCTCCAACTCACCAACCCCTTATCACCCCCTCTCCGTCACCCCTACTTTTCCCAGCTCCCTGTCCCCTAATCTTCCCCCCTCCCTCACTCCCTACTGCCCGCCTCCCTCGCCCCTACTTCCCCCAACTCCCCCCACCCCTTTATCTTCCTCCTCCCAGACCCCACTTCCTTATCTTCCCCTCCTCTCCTTTACCTCTTCCCCAACTCTCCCCTAAAAAGTTCCCTCGCTAGCTACCCGTGCCTGTTATCTCCCTGCACTTCACTCGTTCTCCATCTCCACCCAAACCTCCACCCCCTCTCCCCAGAATTTGAAATACAGCTATTACCATTAATCTTACCGTCTTTTTATCAACACTCACGTATATATACGCATCATCTCTATATTCTTGGCACGTTTCTTCCATGTTTACGTGTTCTTTTCATGATCTCTGCACAACTTGTTACATGTTCATTACAATATTCATATTCTCTGCATGTTCAATTCATATTTTACTCATGTTCTCTGTATTCTTTTCATATTCTCCTTCTTTTCTGTTTCTTTAAAAACAAATGTACAATTGTTTCTGCTATTCAGTAAACAGTTCTTTGTTATGTATTATCATCCGCATTACTGTTCCACCTAACAATTTTAGTTACAATTCATTAAGTTATTTACAAATTATTTTGTTACAAAGTATTTATTTAGTCATTTACTAAGGTTTATTTGCTATCAACTATGTCATTGCATTTCTTTATCAACTTAATATTTCTTACCATCATTGTTCTTATCTAAAATATCTCTTCTTTCATTCCAAAAATTGTCAAAGGAATCTTTCAATACTCTTTTAAACAAAAAATATTCTTCAAGGAGTAAGAAAAATAGTCAAGTGTAACTTCTTTCAACACTTTCTTAACTAACATTATGTTTCGTAGAGTAAGACAAAATAGTCAAAGGTAATTTCTTCATAATATTTCTAACTACTCTCCATGATACCTTGATGCTTCAAGTGATACTCTCATGTCATCTTTATGCTCCAATGACAAACTCAAAGACATAAAAAATACTATTCAAGTCATCAAAGTTATTCTCAGAGTCATCAAGGTTACACTTAGAGTCATTAAAGAGTCACTCATCTCATCCTAGCTCATTTGTATTACTATTTCTCTCTGTTAGTTCTGCTTTCAATCTCTATTATTCTTGGTAAAGTATTGTTTGAGCATCCTTTCCTAATCTACCCCAACCAACTCTAGCCCAAACCTAACACACCCCCACCTAACTGTTAATTACTATAATTATAAGCAGTCTCCGTGATGTAGTAGTAAGACGCTCGCCTGGCGTTCCACGAGCGCTTTGTCCTGGGTTCGTATCCTGGCCGGGGAGGATTTACTGGGCGCAAATCCTTAACTGTAGCCTCTGTTTAACCCAACAGTAAATGGGTACTTAGTTGTAAAAACAATTCTTCACTGGGGTCATATTCCAGGGAACCTAGGATTAAGGACTTGCCCGAAACGCTACGCGTTCTAGTGGCTGTACATGAATGCAACAACTCTTGAATATATAAATAACAATAACAATAATATATTTCCTCATACTTTTCAAATAATTTATAGGAAAGTCTGTTTATGACATCTTGTCTTTACATACATTCTTAATACATTTAACATCTAATCATTTGCATATATGAAGTCTTCAGGACATTTATGTTTATCAATATGTTTTTCAAATACATTTGTTGCCTTTCATAGGATTTTGTTAATGATTAGGTGTTTAAGTATTATCAAGGGCTATTGTTAGAGATGGGTGTTTATGCATTTAAAGAGGTATTTATTGAAGATGGGGTGTTTAAGATTTTCAAATAATATTTATTATCTATAGGGGCTTATGCATTTCAAGAAATATTTATTAAGGACAGGGTGTTTAAGCACTTTGTACATATTTATTTAAGTCTTCAGGTTTTTTATAAGTTGTATTTATTGAGTTTCAAATATTTTGATCTTATTCTTTGACCTTTAACCTAACCTTTGAGATGTCATTTATTGTGTTGGACATATTTTTGTTCTTTTTTTGTTTGTCTTTTACGTTATCTTTCAGATATAGTTCATTTGTTTTGTTTTTGTGTTGGACATATTTGTGGAATATATTATCGTTAACCTAATCTTTCCTCCCTCTTTTATCATATCTACTTTATGTATTAAGTTTCTTGCACTAATTTGTATTTCATTTATTTTAGTAATAATGTAATTAAAGAGTCAGAGAAACTAAGACTTGAGACTTGAGACAAGGAGAGAAAGGAAGAACGAAATAATGATAGAAACGAGACTGACTGAGACAGAGAAAGACAAAGATACAAAAAAATGAGATGCGAGAAAGAAAATCTGAGATTGAAAGAGATTGAAAAGATAAACTACTCACTATGACAGAGACAGTGAAAAGACATTGACAGAAAACAAAGACCGAGAAAGATAAAAAAAAATGGTAAGACATTTAGACAGACACGATTACACTGAGAAAGAGATACGAAAAGCTAAGGCATTGAAACTTAAAATATAATGTAGAGAGGATAATAAATGAATGTGGTATCTACCAAATCCCTGGCATCACCAGTGTCAGGGGGTGGTGGAGACTATGTTGTCACCCTCATCACCAGTGTCAGGCGTGGTAGAGAGTGAGTTATCACCCTCATCACAAGTGTCAGGGGGTGGTAGAGAGTGAGTTATCACCCTCATCACCAGTGTCACGGGTGGTAGAGTGTGTGTTATCAGCCACATCACCAGTTCCTGGGATAAGATAAAACTGTTGTCATCATTGCCAGGGAAGGGGAAAGCAGTGTTGTCAGCACCGTCAGCAGTGCCAGGGGTGGTGGAAGCCGTGTTTTCAGCGACATTAGAGCCTAGCAGTTCCGTCATCTTCCTTACTGACGGCACCACCGTCGCCTCCACTCTCTACACAGTAAGCACAAGTGTGACTCAGCTGCTGTTGTCGTCAGCAACTTTACTGGTGCAAATGTGTGTGCATTTCCTGAAGCTGTTATTGTGTTTGTACAAGCGTGTATACGAATTGTGAAAATGTGTTTTTGTTAAAACGTGAGTTTTCGTGAATTTTGTGAAAGTATATTTGATTTGTACAAGCATGTATGCATTTTGTAAAACAGTGTTTTACGTGTGTTTGAATTTGTGCTAGCGTGTACGCATTTTTTGAACAAGTGTGGTAGACGTATATATATATATGTGTGTGCACTGTTTTTTTGTGAAAGGGAATTTGATTTGTGACAGTGTATGTATGCATTTTGTGAAACAGTGTTGTTCATGTTCGGGAGCTTATGAAAGTGTGTGTGTGACTTTTGATATTGTATAGGCAATTTGCATTTTTTTTTTAAATTTGTTTTTTTAAGGAAGAGAGGGTATTTTTATGAAATAATCTTGTGCATGTATATATGTTTGTGCATGCGTTTTGAGAGAGTTTTTGAATTGTATAAATATGTATGTGATTTGTACTCATCCCAGATTTGCATTCTGGCTCTGTTTTATTTAGAAAAGCTGAATTATGTTGTAACAATTGAAAAATGCCAGATAAAATCTACTAAGGAGAAAAGTCGACAAGTCTTAGTACCTGTAAAAGGACCAATCCCTGAAAAGATTGATCTCGGCATTTGGGGCGTGTTCCAACACAGGCCTTACACCCCCATAGCCCTTAAGATGCTTCAGATGCCAGAGATTTTGGCATTACAATGACGACTGTCAACACCGGTGAGGTGAGGGATCTGTAGCAAGCCTCACGACACTAAAATGCGCCTTGATAAACTCAAGACCGACCAGGTAGAGCAAGCCAAGTGCCCAAGTGCTCCATGGCCCACCACGTCTGGAATCTAAGAAAGGCTTAAAGATATCCTAAATAATATCCACATATCCACAAAAGCAAAGCAGAATTCTCAACCTAAATATATACCAGCTCCCCAGCCCACAATAACAGCGTGAAGCTCACCAAGATTGAAACTTTGCCTCCTCAAATCCCAAATCAGCCAGGCAAATCCCACATCAGCCACTGTGGAGGGGGAGAAAGTTTCCGTCCAGGACACAGAAAGGACTGGGGGCCAGCAGAAAATAGTTCAATGTAATTCCTCGCTTGTTGCATACAGCAAGTACTCTCAGGGCAATCGAGGCATTGGTGTTTGTATTTTTGCCAATAAAAGCCAAACCGTAAACAGACCTAAAAGCAGCACAACAGATAACAGACCTTCTACCTCAAAACACAAAGCAAAGCCACCCAATTAGACACCATCTGGCTCATTCCTAAAATCATGTTCACCGAATTGGTCCAAATCTTGTTAGCAAAACACGGTCTCACAAAATCTACAAAGACTCAAAAACAATTGAGGACAACTTTATGAAAATCCAACAAACAATATCCTCATTTCAAGGATGCAGGGCATAAAATAACTCTGCCAACCCACACAAAAATCAGATCGTATTGGCCAGTAATACAAAAAGCGACCTCGACGAGTCAATTTCAAGTATTATCAAGGTACAAAGTTCACCAAGATCCTCAATTCCAATTTTAACTTCCATGATGAATTCACCTAATTTTACCTCTCTGGATGTCGCGGTAATATCAACAAGTTCCAACATCCAAGAGAATTACAAATCCTGCAATAGAATGCGCAAGGGCTGCACTCAAAATTGCAATACTTGCAATGCATAGCAGCAACCAAAGACAACGTCATCCTGCTTCTACTGAAGAACTTATTTCGAGACGGACTAGAACCTAAAATCTCAGGTTATCGAGGTTTCTTCCTTCCATGGGTCAACGGGCAATCCAAGGGGAGTGCCATCTTTATGAACAATGACCTGATCTCCAAGCCCATATGCAGCCCACCTGAACGTGGCGGGGAACGGAGATCATGGGAGTATCCATTGAGCTAAGGCAATACAAACTTAAAGTGTTCTATGATTACAGGCCTCCACGTGCAGAAATGGATGTTTCAGTGTTATTTGGACACACCACCACTCAAACACAATAATTGTTAGTGATTTCGACGCCCACCATAGCGTGGCACTTGGCTCCAACACAATAAGTGAGGCTGGCACTCGTATAGCATATCTAATAGACCAGGTGCCAGAAATTCATATTCTAAACAAGGATGAACCCACCCACATTTAAGGAGTGTAGACTCAACTTTACCTTCATTTTAGCCTTCCTCAGAGACGCAGCAACATGGTCAGCAGAGCACACACTCACAAGCAACAATTTTAGGGTCCAAATTTATCTAAAAGGTGAACTCCGCCTCCCCCCTTCCCCTACCTCCACCTTGATGGTTGTGAAAGTGGAAGTTCACTCCAGCGAAACGGAACTCCTTTTAAAATTTCATCTCAGAGTGTAATAGAAACTATAATGTTCCCAAAGGTATTAATCAGGCATAACAAGATTTGGTCCAAGCTATTCAGAGTGCAGCCAACTACTCAATTACACTACAAAAACAGTCCATCGGACACCACAAAGATCACTGGTACTATTGCGAACGGAGTAGAAGTGTAGGATTTTCCCACACACGCCACAGTCCTCCCCAGTGGTGCATATTCCGACTATTTAAGACATAAAATACAACATTTTTTCTACAATGTAACTAATAATACTTGCATATTATAGTTTTGTTTACAGATATTTGTTTTAGTTCTGTGTTCAACTTTGATGAAAGAAATTAATTCCTCTTAGTCACGTATGCAAAGCGTGACTGTACATTCATCAGCTGATGAATGTGCATACTACATTCATCAGCAGGAACAGGGAACAATGAACATTTATCAGATGGTCTGAGGTTCTGTTGTTTTGACAGATTACTGATCGTCTACATGTCCCAGGAGGCGTTGGAGTTTTTGAGGTAGCAGTTAATACCTCGAACTTCAACCAGACTGAGAGTCATCTCTCTAGGATCATACCCGATGTTAAAAAGGTAGTTTGATGGTTAATTTTACTTTTAGCACGGATCAGAAACAATAACATTGACTTAGATAGCCTAGCGATCAAGTTATGTTGATGTTAATCTGGTGTAAAGCTGATCGCTGAAACTGTTATGTGTAAGATTAATATATAGATTTCTACAGCTGCGGCAGCTGTCGTCCCACACGACAGTTTCTGTGATAAGTGACGACCTGGCCTTCCTCTCTGCCTTCTTCAAGTGGTCCCTCAAGAGTCGCCTCCTGGTGTGGTCAACGAGGCTCTTGGTCGTCACCCGCCTGACCCTCCACCACCTACAGTCCCACTACGCTGCGCTCTCCAAGATGAATGCCATGTTGCTCGTTATCAGCGACGACATCGCCACCATCAGGTAACATATCATGTTTATCAGACAGTGGTAATTGTATTTTAATCCACCCCAGGAAAGCTAACAACTGCACAACCAAAGCATCCAAAGTCAGAACAACATTATGCAAGAACACGGTAGGAAACACTGTAGAGGCAATGAAAGTCATCACCAGTGAGGATACAGTTGCCACTAGAGATGCCAATACAGCACAGGGCCTGAGAAACAAACACCCACCCAGAGCTCCATCTGATGACATTGGTCCATCAGTCAGTGTCACCAGAGCAGAACCTCTGTGTGTGGTCGAATCCATGGTGCATAAAGAAGCTTTATCCTTCCCACCAGGATCAGCAGGTGGGTTCACAGGACCAAGACCCAACCACATCAAACAAAGACTCAAATCTGCCTAGTTATTAAAGAAGTCGCCAAAAAAACAATCCAATAAGCTCAACATTTGATTCTTGGATGGTACTCTAGCTGGTTCCCAGACTACCTCCTGCATGCCATAAAACCATTCAGGAGCAACGAGTGTATATATATACATATATATATATATATATATATATATATATATATATATATATATATATATATATATATATATATATATATATATATATATATATATATATATATATATATATATATATATATATATAACTGAAAACTCACACCCCAGAAGTGACTCGAACCCATACTCCCAGGAGCAACGCAACTGGTATGTACAGGGACGCCTTAATCTGCTTGACCATCACGACCGGACAATAAGGAAGTAATAGCCGAGGCTATTTGAACCACTTCCCCGCCGGCACTCGGATGGTAATCTTGGGCATAGCATTTTATCAAATCACCTCATTCTTTGGGGCACACGTGAGGAACACAAATGCAAACAAGCCTGAATGGTCCCCAGGACTATATACAACTGAAAACTCACACCCCAGAAGTGACTCGAACCCATAATCCCTCGATTAATATATTATATACATATATACAATATATATATTCATATATACAATATATATACATATATACAATATATATACATATATACAATGTGTATAATATATACAACCCAAAATAGCCTCGGCTATCACTTCCTTATTGTCCGGTCGTGATGGTCAAGCGGATTAAGGTGTCCCTGTACATACCAGTTGCGTTGCTCCTTGGAGTATGGGTTCGAGTCACTTCTTGGGTGTGAGTTTTCAGTTGTATATAGTCCTGGGGACCATTCAGGCTTGTTTGCATTTGTGTTCCTCATGTGTGCCCCAAAGAATGAGGTGATTTGATAAAATGCTATGCCCAAGATTACCATCCGAGTGCCGGCGGGGAAGTGGTTCAAATAGCCTCGGCTATCACTTCCTTATTGTCCGGTCGTGATGGTCAAGCGGATTAAGGCGTTCCTGTACATACCAGTTGCGTTGCTCCTGGGAGTATGGGTTCGAGTCACTTCTGGGGTGTGAGTTTTCAGTTGTATATAGTCCTGGGGACCATTCAGGCTTGTTTACATTTGTGTTCCTCACGTGTGCCCCAAAGAATGAGGTGATTTGATAAAATGCTATGCCCAAGATTACCATCCGAGTGCCGGCGGGGAAGTGGTTCAAATAGCATCGGCTATCACTTCCTTATTGTCCGGTCATGATGGTCAAGCGGATTAAGGCGTCCCAGTACATACCAGTTGCGTTGCTCCTGGGAGTATGGGTTCGAGTCACTTCTGGGGTGTGAGTTTTCAGTTGTATATAGTCCTGGGGACCATTCAGGCTTGTTTGCATTTGTGTTCCTCACGTGTGCCCCAAAGAATGAGGTGATTTGATAAAATGCTATGCCCAAGATTACCATCCGAGTGCCGGCGGGGAAGTGGTTCAAATAGCCTCGGCTATCACTTCCTTATTGTCCGGTCGTGATGGTCAAGCGGATTAAGGCGTCCCTGTACATACCAGTTGCGTTGCTCCTGGGAGTATGGGTTCGAGTCACTTCTGGGGTGTGAGTTTTCAGTTGTATATAGTCCTGGGGACCATTCAGGCTTGTTTGCATTTGTGTTCCTCACGTGTGCCCCAAAGAATGAGGTGATTTGATAAAATGCTATGCCCAAGATTACCATCCGAGTGCCGGCGGGGAAGTGGTTCAAATAGTTTCGCTATCACTTCCTTATTGTCCGGTCGTGATGGTCAAGCGGATTAAGGCGTCCCTGTACATACCAGTTGCGTTGCTCCTGGGAGTATGGGTTCGAGTCACTTCTGGGGTGTGAGTTTTCAGTTGTATATAGTCCTGGGGACCATTCAGGCTTGTTTGCATTTGTGTTCCTCACGTGTGCCCCAAAGAATGAGGTGATTTGATAAAATGCTATGCCCAAGATTACCATCCGAGTGCCGGCGGGGAAGTGGTTCAAATAGCCTCGGCTATCACTTCCTTTTTGTCCGGTCGTGATGGTCAAGCGGATTAAGGCGTCCCCGTACATTCCAGTTGCGTTGCTCATGGGAGTATGGGTTCGAGTCACTTCTGGGGTGTGAGTTTTCAGTTGTATATAGTCCTGGGGACCATTCAGGCTTGTTTGCATTTGTGTTCCTCACGTGTGCCCCAAAGAATGAGGTGATTTGATAAAATGCTATGCCCAAGATTACCATCCGAGTGCCGGCGGGGAAGTGGTTCAAATAGCCTCGCTATCACTTCCTTATTGTCCGGTCGTGATGGTCAAGCGGATTAAGGCGTCCCTGTACATACCAGTTGCGTTGCTCCTGGGAGTATGGGTTCGAGTCACTTCTGGGGTGTGAGTTTTCAGTTGTATATAGTCCTGGGGACCATTCAGGCTTGTTTGCATTTGTGTTCCTCACGTGTGCCCCAAAGAATGAGGTGATTTGATAAAATGCTATGCCCAAGATTACCATCCGAGTGCCGGCGGGGAAGTGGTTCATATAGCCTCGGCTATCACTTCCTTATGTCCGGTCGTGATGGTCAAGCGGATTAAGGCGTCCCTGTACATACCAGTTGTGGGAGTATGGGTTCGAGTCACTTCTGGGGTGTGAGTTTTCAGTTGTATATAGTCCTGGGGACCATTCAGTCTTGTTTGCATTTGTGTTCCTCACGTGTGCCCCAAAGAATGAGGTGATTTGATAAAATGCTATGCCCAAGATTACCATCCGAGTGCCGGCGGGGAAGTGGTTCATATAGCCTCGGCTATCACTTCCTTATGTCCGGTCGTGATGGTCAAGCGGATTAAGGCGTCCCTGTACATACCAGTTGTGGGAGTATGGGTTCGAGTCACTTCTGGGGTGTGAGTTTTCAGTTGTATATAGTCCTGGGGACCATTCAGGCTTGTTTGCATTTGTGTTCCTCACGTGTGCCCCAAAGAATGAGGTGATTTGATAAAATGCTATGCCCAAGATTACCATCCGAGTGCCGGCGGGGAAGTGGTTCATATAGCCTCGGCTATCACTTCCTTATGTCCGGTCGTGATGGTCAAGCGGATTAAGGCGTCCCTGTACATACCAGTTGTGGGAGTATGGGTTCGAGTCACTTCTGGGGTGTGAGTTTTCAGTTATATATATATATATATATATATATATATATATATATTGTGACGGTGTTCCCCCCCCCCCTTATATTTCTCCCACGCCTGCTGTAAGAATCATGTCCACTTTACCTGAGCGTTCTCTACGTCGCAGGCATCAGTTTGATATATGTGGGAGAATGTAGTGTTCTCGGAGTGCCGAGAAATTTATCAAAGAAGAGTATTTTGGCCTGTGGTTTAGGCCCTTTAGGAAGCCAATATGGCGCTGGTTCTTCTGTTTTGCCGCCAAAACTATGCGATGTTAGTGACACCGGATTGGTTACCGACAGCGATGTGGCACAGGGAGCCAATGAAAACCTCCCATGGCGAATGTGATGTCACGAAGGAAGGGGGTCCGGTCAGAGCGCCACGGCGGCGCCATCAGTCTGACACGACACGTCAAGGTGGTTGGATGTGCGAAGATTGGTCCTGTCAGTTTGACAGTTGTTTCCCGCTCCCGTTGATTTTACGCGTCACCCGAAGTCTGCCAGTACTCTGTGAGGTCTTCCTTTGTTCATGTGTTGGACCAGAGAGGGAATCGATGGGATATTGAGCAACAAGTGCTCCAGGACAGGTACTGTGCAAGAAGAAGTGAAGTCTGTGCAGTGACGTATACGACCTCTGAGGCAGTTCACCCGTTTGTGACGGCGTAGTGGCTGAACCGAGCCACTGGGAAGCAGAGGAAGAAGAAAACTATTCGGGAATCCGAACGACTGCAGCCGAGACGTAGGCGGGCAGCCGTAGCTGGGAGGAGAAGTCGACGGCCGGGAGACCGACTCCAACCCTACAAGAAGTCGAGGAGGAGCACGGACCTGCAGTGAAAAGGCACGGAGACGACGTGCTTACGGTGGGACGTTGATTGAGTTCCTGGAGGACACGACAGTGTGTGTGTGGGGGCGTTCCCTACACGAGGCAGGAGCCAGGACCAGGAGCTACAACTCAACTCTCATCGGAGGATAGGTGGAAGTAGGTGATTCTAGTTTCCCTCCCAAATTCCCCTTTAGTCAGCTATATTATTTAGTCTGAGTATTTTGTATGTCGTGAGCAAGGCTCACCTATGTCACAGTAAGGCACCAGTGTGCAGAGTGGTACTATAAAGAGTACTCACGATATTTATGATTATTATTGGTGTATGCAGGCACCCGGAGTAATTGATGAATTTACTGTGTTGAGAATGTCTTTCATGAGACTTTAATGTGATCATATAGTGAGAGGATATATATATATCATTATGCCAGTATTTGGGAGTTAGGCTATGTGCCCAGTAACTATGTTATTATCATTATAAATGTCTATGACTCATCCATATACATATATATGTCTATGCTCGTGTATTGAACAATCATTCATGTGTGCAGTGATTAATTGTGTTATCGCCCACGAAAGGAATTACTGAGAACTCCAGTGATATATACTTGCTTCCGTTATCATTAAATGAAGGGCAGTGTGTAATACCATGACAGTGAATTATTGTCACCTT